TCGCAGGAGGCGTGTGCGCGGGGGGTGGGGGATGCGGTTGGGAGGAGCAGTGGGGACGAGGGAGAGAGGAGGGGGGATAGGGGAAGAGGGATGGGAGGGGCGGAAGGAGGGCAAGCTAGGTGCGCTCGCGCCACATCTCACATCCTACCCATCATGCCCGCCCCTTCCCCCTTGCGCTGAACTATGCTCCGTAGGCCGACTGGGATGGCCCAGAGGATTCTGATGCTCAAATGGCGGTTGCACGATTTGATCTACCAGTTGCTTCGCAAGTGGAAAGGGGTGCTTCCTGGTACATCGGAGGATGGGGAGCAGGAGGCGGTTGGACAGAAGGCGGATGAGGGAGGGGGACGGGGGGCGGTGCACGCAACGGGGAGCAGAGGGGGGGGGGCCGCAAAAGAATATAGGAACCCTGCCCAGCATTTGGCGTTATACCACGCCTCAACGCGCGCCAGAGGGCACGGTGGCGGCAGGGGAAGGGAGCAGCGAGAGCGGGTACGGGACCAGGAGAAAGGCCGGGGAAAGGAAGCGGGAGAGCAGGAGAATGATGATGAGGAGCCAGAGAAACAGGAGCACGTGGAGGAGCAGGTGGAGGTGGAGAAGGGGGAACGGGGAGAAGGAGGAGGAGGAGGTCCACGATAACAGCTCGCGCCACTGCACCCCAATGCCACCAGCCCTGAGCCTTGAGGAAACAGGAAGAATGAGGAACAGGAGGAGGAGGAGGAGGAGGAGGAGGAGGAGGAGGAGGAGGAGGAGAAGAAGAGCTCCCGTGTAGCGGGAGCTATGACCACAGAGCGCCGGCGCGAGACAGACCCGCGCCGCTGCCAGGAGGAGGAGGAGGCGGAGGAGGAGGAGGAGGAGGAGGAGGAGGAGGAGGAGGCGGAGGTGGAGGAGGAGGAGGAGGAGGAGGCGGAGGTGGAGAAGGGGGAATGCGGAGGAGGAGGAGGAGGAGGAGGAGGAGGAGGAGGAGGAGGAAGCATGGGCGCAGGAGGTGGGGGGGGGGGGGGGGGCACACCCACCCCCCATCAATTCCTCTCCCCGTCGTCCTGCCCGTCTCTCCTCCACTTCCCGCTCCTTCCTCGGCTCCCACCGCGCCCGCTCCGGGCGGGGGCAGGAGCCAGGGGGGCGAGCGGGGGGGGGTCCTGGCCAAGCAGGCGGCGCCAAGGCTCGAGGCCAAAAAAAAACCTCCGCGGCGCGGCTCGGCGGCTGGGGGGTCGGAGGGGCAGCTCCCCTCGACCCCGTCGTCCTCGCTCGCCTCCTCCTCTGCTTGCTCCGCCTCGGCTCCTCCTCGTTCTTGTCCTCCTCCCCTCTCCTCCTCGCGTGCCGCTCCTGCGGAGGAGCAGCGCCTCCTCTTCCGCGTCCTTCTCTTGGCATACCTCGTCCTTATGACTAGCTCCCATGTGTCGAATCCCGAGACGGGTCGGTAGGGCGGGCCGGGCGTCTCGCCTGATATTTTCCGCATTCTATTTGATCCTGAAATTTGACATGTGCAAGAGCTTCACGGATGGAGGGCGGGTCGTTTTCAACATGTGATTCTCGGCTTAGTGCCGCGCGCATTTCGTGTCACAAGTTTGCAGGAGCTGCATGGATAGAGGGTGGGCTGTTTTCAAATGTGACTCTCGCCTGAGCACCTCGCACATTCGTCCTAACAGTTCACAGTAGCTTCAAGGATGCTTATGGCTGGCGTCCCAGACATTGCGTTTTGGTACGACTCAGGATGGTTTGGGCGCGACAGTCACATTGGTTCGCGGTGTTGACGTCCCAGAACTGGCGTTCTGGCACGATTGGGGACCGCCAGGTCGTAACAGTAACGCTGATTCGCGGCGTTGAAGTCCCAGGAATGGTGCTTTAGTTCGGTTGGAAGTTTGCAAACGGTTGTCTTCCAACGGGGCTCTTCCCGCAGTGATGACATTTTCTTATAGGAGCCTCTGGGGAGGGAGCTTTGAGGGAGGGTTTATGGCAACATCTTTGATGCGCCTTGGGTTTACACTGGTCCTCCTCTAAGGCTCGAGCACCTGCTCGTTCAATCACTTGCCGGGCGCGCGTGCGCCCTGTCCGCCCGTGGGCGCCTATGTAGGATGGTGCTGGCGGATCGGCTGGCTTGTCTGCGACGCCAGGTCGACGCGGGCACCTCGGCCCGCATTGCCTTCTCCCCCGGCTCAGCTGGCATGGGCAAGTTGAAGGTGTTCCTGGAGCACTCCGGGCTCCTCACCAGCTTGTCCTCTCGGGAGTTGTTGCTGTCTTCCATGGACCTGCTGGCGCAGGCGGAGGTGCAGCGCGGCGCGGTGGACCGCGGCCACAAGCCCGTGAGCACGAACGTGTCTGCGGTGTCGCTATGGTTCCTTCCTCTCCTGCCTACCGAAGGCTTAACCGAGCGGGTGGACATCCTTCTGCGAATGACCGTAACGATGACCCTGGTATTGGTGATGCCGATGATGGAACTGATGGCCGTCGCGGCCGTGGTGATCCATGCTTTAAAGGTCAAGCTCCGCGGGCTGCTGGTTTTCAGGGTGGTGGCGGTTGCTATGTGGCGCCTCCTCGCGACGCTGTGCTTCATAAGCGTGGTGCGGGGCTTCAAGAGCGAGTCGCGAAATGTTCTCGTGGACGGTTTCTCCTAATGGTGAAATAAGCGTTTTAATGGTGAAATAGAAATCTTAATGGTGAAATAGAATTTCTTAATGGTGAAATAGAATTTCTTAATGGTGAAATAGAATTTCTTAATGGTGAAATAGAATACCTTAATGGTGAAATAAAATACCTTAATGGTGAAATAAAATACACCACGTAAACCGCGACCCACCCCACGGCGCTCCGGCGCCGCTCCAGCGGCGCACGCAAACACCACGCAAAAACACCACGCAAAGACTCCCCGCTCCAGCGGCGCACGCAAACACCACGCAAAAACACCACGCAAAGACTCCCCGCTCCAGCGGCGCACGCAAACACCACGCAAAAACACCACGCAAAGACGCGCCGCTCCAGCGGCGCACGCAAACACCACGCAAAAACACCACGTAAACCGCGACCCGCCCCACGGCGCTCCGGCGCCGCTCCAGCGGCGCACGCAAACACCACGCAAAAACACCACGTAAACCGCGACCCGCCCCACGGCGCTCCGGCGCCGCTCCAGCGGCGCACGCAAACACCACGCAAAAACACCACGTAAACCGCGACCCGCCCCACGGCGCTCTGGCGCCGCTCCAGCGGCGCACGCAAACACCACGCAAAAACACCACGTAAACCGCGACCCGCCCCACGGCGTTCCGGCGCCGCTCCAGCGGTGCACGCAAACACAACGCAAAAACACCACGCAAAAACACCACGCAAAAACACCACGTAAACCGCGACCTGCCCCACTGCGCTCCTGGGGTGCTGCAGCGGCGCTGCAGCGGGCTGCAGCGTCGCTCCAGCTGCGCTCCTGCGCCGCTCCAGCGGCGCAGGAGCGCAGCTGGAGCGCCGCCCCAGCGGCGCACAAATACACCACGCAAAAACACCACGCAAAAACACCACGCAGAAAAACACGCCGCGTGAACCGCGACCTGCCCCACTGCGTCCCCGCGCCGCCCCAGCGGCGCACAAATACACTACGCAAATACACCACGCAAAAACACCACGCAAAAACACACCACGTGAACCGCGACCTGTCCCACGGCGCTCCGGCGCCGCCACAGCGGTGCAAAAAAACACCACGCAAAAACACCACGCAAAAGCACCACGTGAACCGCGACCTTCCCCACTGCGTCCCCGCGCCGCCCCAGCGGCGCACAAAAACACCACGCAAATACACCACGCAAAAACACCACGCAGAACAAAAAAACACGCCGCGTGAACCGCGACCTGCCCCACTGCGTCCCCGCGCCGCCCCAGCGGCGCACAAATACACTACGCAAAACACCACGCAAAAACACACCACGTGAACCGCGACCTGCCCCACTGCGTCCCCGCGCCGCCCCAGCGGCGCACAAAAACACCACGCAAATACACCACGCAAAAACACCACGCAGAAAAACACGCCGCGTGAACCGCGACCTGCCCCACTGCGTCCCCGCGCCGCCCCAGCGGCGCACAAAACACACGCAAATACACCACGCAAAAACACCACGCAAAAACACCACGCCGCGTGAACCGCGACCTGCCCCACTGCGTCCCCGCGCCGCCCCAGCGGCGCACAAATACACTACGCAAATACACCACGCAAAAACACCACGCAAAAACACACCACGTGAACCGCGACCTGTCCCACGGCGCTCCGGCGCCGCCACAGCGGTGCAAAAAAACACCACGCAAAAACACCACGCAAAAGCACCAAGTGAACCGCGACCTTCCCCACTGCGTCCCCGCGCCGCCCCAGCGGCGCACAAAAACACCACGCAAATACACTACGCAAAAACACCACGCAGAACAAAAACACGCCGCGTGAACCGCGACCTGCCCCACTGCGTCCCCGCGCCGCCCCAGCGGCGCACAAATACACTACGCAAATACACCACGCAAAAACACCACGCAAAAACACACCACGTGAACCGCGACCTGCCCCACTGCGTCCCCGCGCCGCCCCAGCGGCGCACAAAAACACCACGCAAACACACCGCGCAAAAACACCACGCAAAACCGCTACGTGGTGTTTTTGCGTGGTGTTTTTGCGTGGTGTATTTGCGTGATGTCTAATTCACCCTCCAGCGTTCGCGTGGTGTTTTTGCGTAGTGTTTTTGCGTGGTGTATTTGCGTGGTGTTTTTGCGTGGTGTCTGATTTCACCATTAGGATGAACTCTCGTTCTCGTGCGCATGGCGGAAGTATCTCATGCGTGGTGTGCAGATAGTATTCACGCACGCGGTGCGGATATTCCTGGTCGCGTGAATGCTTATATGTTGGTCTTCTTCAGGAGCGTAGTGCGGATCTTCCGCCGGAGCGTGGTGCGGAGTTTCCTGGTTGGGGTCTTCGTGAGGTTAGTGCGGATCTTCCTCATGAGCTTGCGGATCGTCACGGTCGTGGGGGTTCCTTCATGAGCTTGGCGCGGTTTCTCTTCCTGGGCGTGGTGCGGATCTCATGTATGAGCTTTGTGTGGATATGTTTCAAGAGTGTGTTGACGATGTTTTTCAGCAGCATGGTGCGGAGATTCCTGGCCGTTCGGAGCTCCTTCATGAGCGTGGTGATGCTATTCTTCCTGAGCGTGGTACGGATATTCTTCCCGGTCGTTGCGGCAAATATTCTTCGGGAGCGGAGCGATAATCTCTTTCATGAGCGTGTTGCGGATTTTCCTGGAGGTGCGGATCTTCTCCATGCGCATGCTGATCTTCTGCTCGAGCGTGATGCCGAAGTGTCTGGTGACAACGATCAGTCTGTCGACATTTACGCCATGATGTAGGTGGCTGATGCCTTTATGCCGAACGCGGCGTTGAAGCGGCATCACCCGAGCTTCAGCGACCCGTCAGAGCCAATGGTCTCGCACTGCGTGGCGATGAGCAAAGTGCTGCCTGAGCTCAAGGGTCGCTTCAAGGGTTAGTGGGATGTGCTGTCCGTGGCGCTCCCGTCGAGGCGAGAGGCGTCGCAGCGGCAGCCGTGCTCGACTGGCCCCGGGTAGTCGGGCGCAGTTCTCGGTCGACACCGGGGTTCGGCGATGGCTCCGGGCAGTCTTGACAAACTCGTCGAGAGCAGTTGAGGCGTCATTATGGAGGCGCTGAGGGCCCGCTTGTCGGAGCAAGCCTTGATGCTGTCGTTTGCGGTTTGTTTGCCTTGTTTCGTTTTGCCCCCTCGTTCCGTCGATCGCCTCCCCCTGTCGTTTCTCTGCCCCTCGCATTGTCGTGTCTGCGCTTTGGGCCCGGCGTTGCTTCCCCCTCGGCCTCGCATTCCGACGTGCTCCGATCCCTCGTTCCCTCGTCGCCCTCCAAGGTCAGCCCCAGAAACAACTTCAAACAGTCGTGGCGCTTTTGCGGACAACAAAAAACACTCATCCTCCTCCCCCTCTTCCTCCTACTTGCCCTGATCCACTTCCTCCTCCCCCCCAGCCGCCATAGCTCAGCTCGCCCTCGACGGCTAGGAGACGACACTCGTTTCGCACCCTGTGTAGGCTCAGGTCCCCTCCTTCGCAGATGATCTCTCCTCCTCTTCCTCAGGGCGGCGGGGGCTGAGGTGTGGGTAGGGGGCAAGCAATTTCATTGGTCCCATCGAGTGCAGTTGTGGTCGCGCCACAGCTTGTATTTCTGCGCTCGGTGCGGGTGCACAGCCACGACCGATTCCCGACACTTGCTGGGAGATTGCGCCGAGGCAACCAGCAAAGGGCGCGAAAACTTGTCGCGGATCCAGAAGGGGCTGCACCCAGGTAGGCGCGCCAGGGCGGCGGCTGCTGCCTGCGACCTGGGGCGAGTGCAAAGAGAGGAGGTTCTCCGACACACCCCTGGTCTGCTGCGTCCGTCACGTTCGGACTTTCCGTCGGTAGGGTCCCACCTCCTGTGGGTGTCAGGCAAGTCCGAGGCAACTCCTCCTCGTCCTCCTCCTCCTCCTTCTCCTCCTCCTCCCGTAGCCACTCTCGGCTCATTTCCCAGCGGGCCCTCAGCACGTTGCGGCTGGCTGCCCGCGGGGATTATCCCAGGCACGACGGGGCCTGACGACCGATAGGCGCAGACGGCGGGGCTGCCAGTCGCCATGGTGGCCTGCGGGGCGGCGTTGGCGGCCATCGTCCTCGGCCCCACGGGGAGGCGAGCCGGTGGTTGCGGCAGTTGCGGCCGTTGCCCGTGGCGCCGTGGGGCCAGAGGGCTGCCAGCTCGGCAAGGGCACTGGCGCGGAGCAAGAGGTCGAAGTGCCCGATGGGCTGCAGGGGATTGGGGCAGACATGGGCGTGTTGGGGGTCCCTGAGGCGAAGGCTGGCCTCCGCGGCGCTGGTCAGCACGACCTCGCGAGTTGCCTCGGCAGGCACAGCGAGATGGGCAACGGAGTCGCCCGCAAGGACGTCACGCTGCAAGCGCAAATATCTTCGGGGCTGGCGGCCAGAGAGCACGCCTCGGACTCCGCCTAGGGGCAGCTAGCAGAGGGCGACACAACGAGCAAGACGGAGACCAGCGAGGACTACCTTGGGCAGACCGCGGCGAGCATTAACGACCTTCCGCTGGCCGAGGGCGATCAGGAGAGCAGGAAGGGCAACCATGAGAGCAGCAAGGGCAATCAGGGCGTCGTGGAGGCCGTCTTGGGACCATCTTGGAGGTACTGGCGCGATGGTTCGGCCACTCGGGTGCCTTTTGGGGCCCTCTTGGCCCGTTTTGGACCGTTCTTGGGCCCGAACAGGTCACGCGAGAAGACGAGAGAAGCCCCAGGGAACACGCGGAAAACCCAAGAAGATTTGGCAACATGGGTTCCAGGTCATTTCAAAACTTCTCAGGGGCGCTAAGGGATTAGGCAAAGGACTTGAGGACACGCCCACTTCGTGCTCAGCGGCACGGTGGCGGATTTGGGCCATCCTTTCTCAGGTGAGAGGGGGGCTCGTGGGAGGGGCCGCTGCGCTGTGTCGGCACCGCAGCAGATAGCGCAGACCTTCGTCGGAGATGTTTCAAGAAGCTCCCTTGGACGAGGATTGAAGCGCGTTGCCCTGCTGCCAAGGCACCATGTTTCCAGGTAGACAGGGCAGCGGTGTCGGGTCCGCCGCTTCGCGCTCGCCGTCGCCGCCCCGTCGCCGCCCTGCCGCCGCCTGGGCTCCGGTGTCGGGTCCCCTGCCTTGGGTTCGCCGTCGCCGCCCCGTCGCCGCCCTGTCGCCGCCGCCGCGCTGCACCCCGCCATGTTGCATCCAAATCCTTGGCATCGCTCGGACGTGTGAATTTTTCCCTCGGCGAGGACCATCGAGAAGCATCTTTGATCATTTGGCGAAAAAACCACGCACGAAACCGAAAAAAACACAGGAAATGGACGTCCGAGCGATGGCCAGAGTCGTTGCAGTCAAACAGGATGCAACCGTTCAATCGAATCGACTGCAATCGCTTCCAAAGGCCTGGTTGCGGCCCCGTTAGCAGCTCCAGTCGAGCCCGTCGCCGCCGCCTCGCTGCAGCCCCCACCCCATTTCGCATTGTACTCTTCCATCGCATTGCATTACGTTGCAACCGCATTGCAGTGCACTCGCTTTGCAATCGCGTTGCAATCGCACTGCGTTGCACCTACTTGATCGATTTGCATTGCGCTGCATTTCGTTACGTCGCAATGCGTTGCTCTGCATTGCACTGCGTTGTCTTGCGTCGCCTTGCTTGCAGTGCTGCCCATTGCGTCGCACTGCAGTGCGTTGCTGTGCACTGCGTCGTGTTGCTTTGCGTTGCATTGCTTTGTCGCCATCCGTCGCCGCCGTCCGTCGCCGCTGCGTCGGCGCTGCGTCTGCGATTCGCTGTCGGTCGCCGCGCTTGTTGTCGCCGTCGCCGCCCATCGTCGCCGTCCGTCGCCGCTGCTTCTGCGCTTGGCTGTCGGTCGCCGCGTTTGTTGTCGCCGTCGCCGCCGTCGCCACCGTCCGTCGCCGCTGCTTACACCACATAGCTTGCACACCACGTAGATTCTCTTTCTTAAAGAGTACCCCCCGGATTTAATCGCCCCCCGTTTCGCATTGCAATTTACATACGATTCTGCCCCATCGTCCATTCGAAATATGACTTCGTACCATCCCAGCCAAGCCCGCATCGACCCTCACCTCGCCATCTGCGAAAATCCGTGTTGTGAAACCATGCGTTTGTTTGAAAATTTGTTTGGGAGACTCGATTTTGAAATCCCTGCGAAACGTAAGCTTTTTGAAGGATGTCGGCATGCGCCCCCGACGACGCGCGCGCGCCCTCCGTCCCGTTTTCGCAAGGGTTGTTTTTGAAACTGCGGATTTTTGATGAACGAGTGCGCGCGCATAGTTGATAAACGAGTGCGCGCTCATAGTTTTTGCAGAAGACGGGGGGTGTCGACACCGGCCTGGCTGGGATGTTATGAGTTCGAATTCAGGGTGGACGATGCGACACAATTAGATGTAAATTGCAATACGAAAAACGGGCACACATTGTTCATGTATAATGATACGAGGTTTTTGATTATTTCGAAGGACCAAGATCCTTTCATCTCTAATGATTATATACTGGGCCTCTTCCTGGCCACTAGTGGGCCAGGAACAACTAGAAACGAGCACAATTAGAAATGAGCACGATTATAGATGAGCGACGTGTATGGATAATCCGGGGAGGAGTAGAATCGAATTCTTTTCAAGAAAGGAGAGTGTATATGAAGCAATCGATGTGGTACGAAACAGGGTGTGCAATATGCGCTGTGCAATCTAAGTGGCGCAATATACGTAGTGCAATGCATGTGGTGGACCAGTCTATGTGGCGCTACATGCAATTCCCTCGTCGCTAGATTCCGGCCATACAAATCAGCGCACGGCAATGCACAACAAGGCCCAGAGAACGGGCGGCGACGAGGCGGCGATCGGGATGCGACGGCGGCTGAATAGCCGCAAGACCTGTCACACCGGCCCAGACGACGGGCGGCGACGAGTCGGCGACGGGCCGGCGACGGCGACTACATAGCCGCCAGACCGCCACACTGGCCCAGACGACTGGCGGCGACGGAGCGGCGACGGGGCGGCGACGGCGGCCACATGGCCGCCAGAGCGACGCATCGGCCCAGACGACGGGCGGCGACGGGGTGGCGACGGGGCGGCGGCGACGGCGGCCACATAGCAGCGTAAGCGGCTCACCAGCCCAATTCGTTGGAAAACAGCTGAGGACTCGCAAGTGCAAACGCTGTTCGGAGAATGTCCGTTGGGTGCTCTACTTCGTTTCCGTGACGGGGCGCCGTGCTGCTGGAGACGAAGGTGATGGGGGGGATCGGCATCACCCTAACATACTTATACTATATGTGCTTCGCCCCCCCGGAGGCGACGCGCGCACCGAGAAATCTTATAGTATATGCGTCGTGGGGGGCGCTTTCTGGCCACACCGCTCGGGAAACGATATACTACAAGATGGGTATACTATATGTTAGGGTCGGACGCGCGCCTCCAAGGAGGACATATAGTACTAGTATGTCTTTGTGCTTCCCAGGGGATCCCGTGCGCCTGCCGCTCGCACGATCTGACCTCCGGCGGGTGCCCTCCCCCAGCGCTGGGCTCTCTCCCAGACCCAGCGGCCCCACCGGCTGCGGAGGCGGCGCTCGTGTCTCCTCCCCGGAGCAGCGGCACGGTGGAGAGGCGTGGGGTCGAGGGGGAGGGGGCCAGCGAGGCCGTTGGGAGGGAAATTCCGGAAAGGGAGCCAGGGAGGAAACGGCGCCCGAACAAATAGTGTGCGAGAGGAGTCGGGGCGTCGCTTTCCAATGGAGAAGAAAGAAACGGCAACGGCATTGGCCGCATGAGACCGAACGATG